CCCCCCCCCCCCCCCTCCCGCCTCGCTCTTCCTTTCTTTCCCCCTCGCCACCTCTCCTGCTTTAGTGTTTGCCGCCGTCGCCGTCGTCATCGCCCATCCCCATCCTCTCGGCCTCTCTCCCCGTCGGCCTCTCTCCCCCTCCCTCCCCTCCCCCGCCCCCATACACCCATCACACTATGAGCTGGTTCCGAGGATTCTCGCCACGCCGGCAGCACACCGGCCAGCAGCAGCCACACTCGCCCACCGGTGGCTACACGCCGGTCAGCCCGACCGACCCGTATGGCGGGTATCCGCCGTCCGCCTCGTCGGCCGGATCCTCGCACCACCCCCACCACCACCCGTACAGCGCGCCACCGAGCGCCTCGTACCACCCCTCGCAACCGCCGCCTCATCCCGGCTATCCCGGGCCCTACATGGGTGCCACCAGTAGCCACCCCACCTCGCCGACTCGGCCCGATGAGGCCTACTACGCCCCGTACACTGGGCACCAGCAGCGGCCGGCGCCACCGGCCCGGTACCAGCCGGCCCCGGGGGATTACTACGATTACCCGGGCGAGTCGCCGGGCGGCGGGTATGGCGCGCCTGCGCCCGACGGGTATGCCAACATCCCGCGCGCGCAGTACCAGGCCCCGCCCCCCCCGGCGGGGGCCGGCTATCCCACCGACGGCTACGGTCCCTACGAGGGGGCCTACGCCCCGCAGCCCCATCCGCCGCAGCGCAAGTCCCGCAGCCAGCAGCAGCGGCAGCAGCAGCAGCAGCAGCAGCAGCAGCGTCCCGGCCGGACAGACATCCTGCCCGAGTACTGCCCCTTCCCCCCGGCGCTGGGGAAGCTCTTCACCAAGATTCGCACCGATCTCGATCGGCTGGAGGAGGGTGCGCTGCTGTGCCGTGGGCCGGCGGGGTTGTTTGGGGGGTTTTTTTTTCGGACGGGGGGAGGCGTTTCCTTTGGGGGCTCCTCAGCCGTCTCGGGCTTCTTCTTTTTTCTTTTTTTTGTGGCTGGTCGCCATGCACTAACCCTCCTCTTCTACCACCGACCGGGGCAGAAACCATGCGCTTCCGCTCGTACGTCGAGTCGCTGCCCGACCCGAAGTCCGCCCAGGCGGCCGACCTGGACGAGGCGGTCATCAACTCCGCCTACAAGGAGTACTTGCGTCTGTTTGAGCTGCCCCAGCGGCATCTGGCCGCCCTGGATGAGGTGGATTTGCAGCAGGCCGGCGGCCTGGCCGAGGCCGCGCGCGCCGCCCGCCGCGAGCTGATCAAGTGCGCCCTGTGCCGTGCTGGGGCTTGGCGACCACTCTGCGCGGCGCTCGCGCCCGCCCCTGTGTGCTGACCCGAGCCTTCCTTTTGCTGTTCCCCCCCCCCCCTCCCGCCCGATCGCGCCGCCTCGCGCCATCTGTAGCTACTCCAACACCGTGCTGGATCATGTGGAGTCCCTGAAGCCGACCGTCTTCGAGCTTCGGCAGATTGTCCAATCGGCGTCCAATTCGCCGAACCCCACGCCGGCTGCCAACGGCCCGGCCTCGTCCTCCTCGCTCCAGGCGTCCGACGGCTCGTCCTCCTCTTCGGGGAGCGTCGACTGAGGCACGACCAATGCATGTTTCGCGTGTGCGTGTGTGTGTGTGTGTGTGTGTGTGCTTTCCCCCTCCCTCTGTCCTCTGACCCTCTTTCTTTCCCCTCCGACCGTCACCGCGCCCGCTCGACCACCGCTGCGCACACCTGCAGAAACACGTCCTTGATCCTTCCCCCCGCCCCCTCTCCCTCTCCATGGCTGCCCCGAAATACATGCACATAGACGTCTTTGGCCCGCCCCTGCCAGCCCCAGGGGGAGGGGGAAAACACGCGCAAGGGCAGGGCCAGGGGAGGCGGGGATGTTAACATTGCGCGAGAGGTGGGTCTCGCGTGACGGAATGGCGAGGGAAGGGAGAGAGAGAACGAGAAAGAAAGAGAAAGAAAGAAAGAAAGAGAAAGAGAAAGAGAGAATAGGAAAGAGAGACGGCGCTGCATGCGCTTTATGTTGGGCTGCGAATGGAGACTTGTGTATTTGGTCAACCCCTGAAAAAAAAAAGAAAGGGGGACCGGGAGGGAAGACAAGACAAGAGAGAGAGAGAGAGAAAGGCACACACACGCGGGCACACGTGCGCCACCCCCTTCTCACTTCTGCTGCTTCATGGCATGCAGCTCCTTGATCTTGGCGGTGATGCTCTGGCGCGGGCGGTCCGGCAGGAAGGCCGCGATCTTGCCCCAGCGGTCGGCGTCGGTGGCCGGCACAGTGCGCAGGGCATGGACCAGGGTGTCGAGCTCGGCCGCGGACCAGGGGGTCTCGGTGGAGGCCGGGGCGGTGGTGTTCCGCATGTCGGCATCGGTCAGGTCCGAGCGCTGGGTCGGGGCATCGGCGATCTTGACCTCGCCCTGGCGGCGCTCAAACTGCAGGTCGGTCATGGTGACGGACCCGACGCCGCTCTCCATGGCCTTGGACTCGGCGACCACCTGCTTCTCGGTGAAGGTGGTGCTGCACTGGGTGTTGACGTGCTCGGTGATCTTGGTCCAGCGCTCGGTGGTGCCACCGGGGAAGGTCTTGATCGCATGGACCAGGACCTTGCGGTGGGCATCGGTCCACTCCGGGGCGGCGGCCGCGGCGGCGGTGGCGGTGGAAGCGGCGGCGGCGGCGGCCGCGGCCGCGGTGGCGGCATTGCGGCTGGCCTCGGCCGTGCCGAGAGTGGCGTCCAGGGCCGCGAAATAGAGGGCACCCTTGGCGGCGAAGTCCGACGCGGCCTCGATGGCGCGGTTAAGCTTCTCCAGGTCCATGACATCGTACTTCTCCAGGAAGAGCTCCAGGTTGATGGTGGCCTGCTGGTGGGCCTTGCTCAGGGGGGAGGCCTCCTCGCCGGAGAGGAAGCAGGCGTGATCGCGCATCAGGCCGCGCAGGGTCTTGCGCTCCTTCTTGGCGATCTTCTTGCGGTCCTCGCGGCCCTTGCGCTCGGCCTCGGCGGCGGCGGCGGCGGCGGCCTTCTGGGCAGCGGCCTCGGCGGCCTCGGCGGCGGCCTTCTCGGCGGCGGCCTTCTCGGCGGCGGCCTTCTGCGCGGCCAGGGCCCCGGCGGCACCGGCGCGGCTCTGCTGGCGGCTGCGCTTCTGCTCCTCGCGGCGCTTCTTCTCCGCCTCGCGGAGGAGCTTCATCCGGGGGTCCAGGGCGGCGGCCTGGTCGACCAGGGTCCGGAGCCGGGCATTGTCCTTGGTCTTGGCCTCCTCGCGGGCGCGGCGGTTCTGCTGATCGGTCCAGCGCTTGTCATCGCGAGACCCGCCATCGGACATGGTGCCCTCCTTGTCGCGCCAGTTGAACACGCGCCAGCTCTCGAAGGCATACCAGAACTCGTAGAAGGCCTGCACCTCGTCCAGGGGGGTGTCCATGTTGCCGAGGGCCGGGACCGGCTGGCGGACCGAGAAATGGGCATTGGCCGCGAACACCGGGCCGTAGACCTCGAAGAAGTCGGCCTTGGCCGGCAGGGTGGCCGCCGGCAGCCGCTCATTGAAGGTGGGGTCGCAGGAGTCGAAGTGCATGCGCAGGGTCGGGTCGACCAGCACATCCAGCGCGCGCTGGATGCACTTGAAGAAGTTGTCACGCGTGTCGCCGGTCAGGGCCTGGGCCTGCTTGTCCGGGTGGTGGACCAGCACGCGGCGGCGGTGGGCCGTGCGGATGTCCGCCTCGGTGGCCGCCCGGCGCAGGTTCCCCAGACCCAGGATCTGGTACATGTCCAGGGTGCGGTACTCGGCCGGGTCGGCGGCCAGGAGGGCCTCCGGCACCGACTCGTCGTACAGCTCGTCGAACCGCGGGTTCAGGCCGGCCATCTCGTCCTTGGCCGCGACCGCGGCCCCGGAGCCGTTGACCGCCTCGGCGATCGGGCACCGGGTGGGGTGCACCAGACGCGAGATGTACCCGGCGCCGACGGGCTCGAAGGAGCGAGTGGCGGGGGCTGTGTCGGGGCGGGAATGAGTCAGTGGTCCAGGCAAGCAGGAGGGGGGGAAGGGGGGCAAGTGCGGGACACGGCCGAGCCGGGAGGGCAGGGGCCCGGGAAATGCGACGCACTCTCGAGGGTGCTGCTGACCTGGTGGGTCTTGTCGGCGGCCCAGGACTCGGGCAGGGCCGGCAGCTTGACCTTGACGGAGGCAACCAGCGGGACGTAGTGGCTCATGACGACTGCTGGAACCGGGAAGGAGGGGGGGGGGGAGGGCCTCGGGTTCGGGGGGGAGGAGGGGGAGGGAAAAAACTCGGGATTCAACAAGAAACCGAGTCCGGCGAACGAGGGGGCGAGGGAGGTTGAGAACGCTGGCTGGCGGCCGAATCGCCGCGTGCCGGCGCCTTTTATTTCACACCCCCCCCCCCCCCCCCCCCCCCCCCCCCCCCCCCGCCCCTCCCCCCCCCCTCCCCTTTCCTCCCCGCCCCCCTCCCCCCTTTTCCCCCGATACCCATGTCTGTGCGTACCCGCCCGTCGGCCCGATACCCCCTCCCGCCGGACAACAGCCTTCCCACACTCTGACACCCGTGAAATGGGGCAAACGGAACACCCCCTCGCCCATGACGCACCCAGGGCGGCCCCCCTCGCAATCAGAACCAGCCGGCCCGGCGCGGCGCCTCGGCCAACAGCGGCGTGTCTCGCGGCGGCCGTGGCGGCGGCCGGCCCGCTGGCGGCCGGACCCAGCACGACGACGCCAAGGCCGCCAACGCGGCCAAGGGCCTGCGCGCGCGCCGCGACCCGGCCCTGGACCTGGCCACCATGCTCGGGAAAAAGATTCGCGTGTCCTTTGTCGGCGGCCGTGAGGGTGCGCGCCCCGGCCTCTCTTTGCGCCGGCCTTTTTCTTTTTTTTTCCTCCCCCGCCCATGTGGCCCCTGCCATGTGCCCCCCGCCACCCGTCCTAACTCTCCCCCTGTCTCTCTCTGTCCCCCCCTCCCCTGCGGCACCCCAGTCGTCGGTGTCCTCCGCAGCTACGATCCCCTGATGAACCTGGTCCTCGACGAGACCGTCGAGTACCTCCGCAGTACGGCCCTCCCTGTGCTCCGCACTGCGCCTGACCCGGCCCGGCTTCCTCACACCCCCTTTCCCCGGCTCCCCCTCCCCTCGCGCGCCCCTCGCCACCGGGGACACCCCGACACACAGACCCCTCCGACTCGACGCAGCTTCTCGTCGACATCCTGGACCCGGAGTCGATGGCCACCATCGCCACCACCCGGCCCCTGGGCCTGGTGGTGGTCCGCACCTCGGCCATCGTGTCCGTCTCGCCGGACATGCTGGAGGCCATCGACAACCCGTTCGAGTCCTACGAGGAGATTGACGAGGAGACCGCCATGGCGGCCATCGGCGCCGCCTCCGGCTCCCCCTCCGCCGATGCCATGGTCGACGAGTAAGAGGCCTGGGGGTGTTTTTTTTTCTTTTTCCCCCGGCGCTCGGGCGCGCCCCGGTCACGCGCCGGCGCCCGGCGCCACATGTGAATATAGACCATCATGTGTACCTCAGGTGAGACATTTTTCCTTTCCCGCCCTGGGTCGAAAGGGGAGAAGAGGGCAGGGGCACGGCGGCGGAGCCCTCGGGACGCTGTGGTCGCGCACGCGTTCCGGCCGCCACGCCCTCCGCGCACCGCCCGGGGGGGGGCCTACAGTGCGGGAATGCCCCCGGGAGGGCAGGTTGGCTCTTCCAAGGGACCGGGCGACGGACGACGCGAGGCGGGCCAGACGACTGCCTAACACCAGGGCGGGAGTGAGGATGCCATTCCAGGCGGGACCCGCCGGTTGCCGCGCAAGCACGGGAGACGGGGGAGCCGCACCGGGGGCAGCCCCCATCCCGGGGATGGCGCAAGGTCAGGGGGGGGGGGGGGGGGGGGGAGGGGGCCGGGGACGCACGCCGCTGACGGCCATTGCCGCCGCCCGGACCACGGAACGCCGAGTCGCCGAAAAGGGGCCTTTTTTAATGGGCCTGACCATTTGTGCCCCCGCCCCATCTTCCCCGATCGGGGGGGGAGGGGACCGAATACACGGGTCTGCCGGCCGAACATTGGCATCTGCCACTCGGGCAGGCATCCCAAACTGCGGGGCGCAGCTGGCGCGGCGGGGCGCAGGGGAGCGGGGCCGCAGGTCCCAGACCGCGCGAGGAGAAGGCCCGCGCCCACGGGCGACATGTTCCCTACCGGGGGGGGGGGGGACGCGCGCGCCCCCACGCCGGCGGGAGCAGGCGCACCTGACACCGGCCCTGGCGCGCTGCTCCCTTGCCTCCCCGTTGGCCTTCCACGCCGGTGCAAGTCATCCCAGCACGCCGGTCCCGGGGCTGGGCCGCGTCCGGCATGCCTTCCCCCCCCGGCCCGCACACGACACCCGTCCCTGGAGGAGCCGCCCCGGCGTCCCGACAAGGCTCCCTCCCTCCTCCGGGGGGCGCAAGGGCGGGGGGCCCCCGGGGGCGGCCGTGTTGCCGCCCGGCGGGAGGCCCCGAGGCAGGGCCCCAGGGGCCAGGGAGGCGGAAGCCGGATCACGCTCCGCGGCGTGGGACCCGCGCGCGCGCCAGGGCGCTTTTGCAGGCACCCTCGGCCCAGGCAGGGCGCGGGGAGCGCCTTGCGCCCGGGCGCGCGAGAGCCCGGCCAACCAGACGCCCGGCCACCGCCGCCGGCCGGGGGGGGGGGGCGGTTGTTTTGATCTCGCGCGGCCGGGAGCCGATCTTCGACCGCCCAGCGCCCGCAGTCTGGCCGCCCTCCCTGCCTTCCTGGTCGCCCCCCCCCCCCGGGGGGGGGAGGGCATCAGATGGTAGAGAGGCAGAGGGCACTGCGGGCGGGCTGGCGGGACAAAAAGGAGCCTCCTCCCCCCGGCCCATGCTACTTGGTCGCGCGGGGAGACCGGGGGGGGAGGGGCGAGGGCAGCTCGCCGGCCCTCCCCGTGGTCGCGGGCTTTTGACGCCCCTCCCCCGGGGCTCCCTGGTCCTCCCTGGCCCCAGGACATCTTCGCTCCCCTGTTTGCCCCCCCCCCCTCCTGCATCCTGTTTGCCCGTGTGCTCCCCGCCCCTTCTTTCTTCTTCTCTCCCCCTCCCCTCCCCCCCTCCCCCCGCGCTCGTACCCTCCTCTCGCTCGTGTGCCGGTATGCCGCCCAGCACCGAGGGCCTGCCTGGCGATGCCGGCGGCCGCGACTCGCCGGATGCCCCGCCGGTCCCGCATCTTGGCGTGTCTCCCGGGAACCTGTTCACCACCCCGGCCGCCGGGTCGCTGTCCTCCTCCTGGCAGGAGTCTCCGGATATGCTGCTGGATTTGAACTTCGCCCCGAGCGCGGGGTCGCCATCGGGCACGGGCGCGGCTGGCATGCCGATTGCCGGGCCATCGTCGACGCCGGCGCCGGCGCCGGCGGCCGACCCCATCCCCTGGGCCGGCTACTCCTACCCGCAGGATGTGGCCAATCTGGACCGCGAGAGCCACGCCTCGTACTTCCCCCCGGCCGGCGGCGCCGGCCCGGAAAGCGACCCGGGGCCCCTTGGGCCCGAGTATGCGGACCAAGCCCCGACGGCCTACTCGTCGAGTGTGCGGGCCTCCCGCCGGCAGGGCCTCGGCGCCGGCCTGGCCGGGTCCGAGTCCTATCGCCGGGCCCCGAGCGCACAGACCCTGCAGCACCGGATCAAGGCACCCAACCTGTCCACCATCGACTGGACCTTCGAACTGACGCTGGAGCACCAGCGCAAGATCGACATCAAGAGCCGCGTACGAGCCGCTGGGCTCCTGCAAAGGGGGCTTCTTTTTTCCCTTTCAGCGCCTTGCCCTTGCCCGTCCGATGCCTTGGTCGTGCGCCCCCCTCCCCCGTCCGTGTCCTGTCACTGACATACATGCACACACACACACACACACACACACACACACATGCCCGACTCGCGCGCTCGCCTCCTCACAGTCCAGTAGCTTGCAGGCCACCCTGGCCAAAGGCTGGGACCAGGCCCAGGGATGGGTCATCGTCGGTGTCACCGGTACGTTGCCTGGCTCCGGGCCACCCCCCCCCCCCCCCGCCACCCAGGACCCTTCCCTTTTGCCTCGGCCATCTTGCTGGCTGACACTCTGCCCCGGGTTGGCTGCGCCCTCGCCCGCAGCCATCTCCTGTGCTCTGATCGCGGCCTTCCTCGCCGTGTCGACGGACTTCCTGTCGTCCCTGCGCATCGGCTACTGCAAGGGGGCCTGGCATCTGGGCGAGTCGCTGTGCTGCCTGAATCAGTGGCCCGCTCCTGGGGGGTCGTTCGATGGGACGTCCGCCGTGGCGCCCTTCTCGCTGGAGCCACAGATCGAGCTCCACTGCCCGGACTTCATCACCTGGGCCCAGTGGTCCGAGTCCTGGGCCGGGGGGTACCTCATGTACATGCTGATTTCCGTGTGCCTGGCCGTCTCATCGGCCATCATCGTCAAGCGGGTGAGCCCCTTCTCGGCCGGGTCCGGCATCCCGGAGGTGAAGGTCATCCTGGGGGGCTTCGTCATGCACGGGTTCCTGGGCGCCTCGACGGCCATCCTCAAGACCCTGACCCTGGCCCTGGCCATGGCTTCCGGCATGCTGGTCGGCAAGGAGGGCCCGCTGATCCATATCGCCGCGTCGCTGGGCAACATCTGGCCGCGCTTCTTCCCCAAGTACCACGCCAGCGAGGTGAAGAAGCGCGAGCTCATCTCGTCGGCCGTGGCGGCCGGCGTGGCCGTGGCCTTCGGCGCGCCCCTCGGCGGGGTGCTCTTCTCCTTCGAGGAGTGTTCCTACTACTTCCCGAATTTGGTCATGCTGCGGACGATCTTCTGCGCGGTGGTCGGCGCTGCTGCCATCTGGGTGCGTCGGGCTTTGCTTCTTCTTTTCTCCCCCCCCCCCCCCCCCCTCGGCCCCCGGGGTTCTGCCCGCCCGTTCCGGGGTCCCCGGCACCCGTCGCCCGGTCCTGTCCCATGTCGTCCCCCTTCGCCTCCCTTGCTCCCCTCCCGCTGACGCCTCCATCGCGCCCGCCGCCGCCGCCTCCTCCTCCCCCTGGCGCTCCCAGGTGATTGATCCCCTGCACACGGGCAAGCTCGTCATCTTCAGCTCGGCCACCGCCACCAACGCCACGGCCGGCTGGTTGCTGGTGGAGTTCATCCCGTTCGTCGGGCTGGGCCTCATTACCGGCGCCCTGGGGGCTCTGTTCATCAAGCTGCACATTGTCATCATGCGTGCCCGGCGCCTGCCGAACTCCTTCACCAAGCGCTTCCCCGTGACGGAGATTTTCCTGCTGGCACTGCTGTCGGCCGCCATCCAGTACCACCTGGCCTACACGCGCATTGACATGCTCCGGCTGATGGGGTTCCTGTTTGGCGGTTGTGACCCGAATCAGGGCGGCTCAGACCCCCTGGGGCTATGCAAGTGCGTGTTTTTGGGGGCCTGGCCTGCCTCGCGTCGGTCCTTTTGTCCCCCCCCCCCCCCCCCCCCCCCTGCCCCCCCTACCCCATCTGCTGCTGACCCCCGATCCCTGTGGCGCCTCACTCCAGTCTCAACAGCGTGGGCCCCATCATCGCCGGGTTGCTGGCCACGGCGGCCATCAAGTATTGCCTGTTTGTGCTGACGGCCGGCTCGCGCGTGCCGTCCGGCATGTTCGTGCCGACCATGCTCACCGGGGCCCTGATTGGGCGCGTTGTCGGCATCCTCATGTCCTCCTGGGCCCAGTGCGTGTCGCCCGAGGACGGCTTGGGTGCCTGCCCGTTCCTTTCTTCGCCCTCTGCTGGTGTCTGACTCCTGCCCCTTCTTTTTTCTCCGGTCGCATGTGTTTGCCTGCACATGGGTGTGCGTGTTGCGCAGTGCCATGCCGACCCTCTTCATTTGGAGCTCTTGCGCATCGGACCCCTCGACGTGCATCTCGCCCGGGTTGTATGCGGCGGCTGCGGCGGCCGGCTTCCTCACCGGGACGACGCGTATTACCAGTGCGTTTGTTCTCTCTCTTCCTCCCTCTCCGTCTCCTTTCCTCTCCATCTCCTTTCCTCTCCATCTCCTTTCCTCTCCGTCTCCTTTCCTCCCTCTCTTCCTCCCCCCATCCCTCTTCCTCCCTCCCTCCCTCCCTCTCTCCCTCCCCCTCTCTTTCTCTCTTTTCCTCCGCCCCCCTCTCACCCCGGCAAATCCGACCCACAGTCTCGGCCGCTGTCATCATCTTCGAGATTACCGGCGCCGTGAACTTCCTCCTGCCGACCATCGTCTGTGTCATCGTGGCCAAGTGGACTGGCGATGCCATCCACCGTCTGGATGTGTGCGTTGGATGCTGCCCCCCTCTCCCC